TGAGGCGGATGGAGCACCACAGTAGCTCACACAAGCCATCGTCACTTCGATAGGTGCTCACAAGTCTCCCACGCAGGGAAGACCGGATGTAAAGTAAGACACCACCGTGGGCATTCTTTAGTCTATCGCATCGGAAACACGAGTAACCGTTGAGTTCAAGTTCTTGGGTGTATAACTCTGCATGCAGCCATGTCTCTGCGAGTCCCACTACGTCTGGTCGCTCAGACGCAACGAAACAACAAAGCTCATCGCGCTTATTCATAATACTGCAAACGTTTGTGAAGGCTACTCGCAGGCCGCAGCGGGGGTCACCGGGCGTGCTTGAAGTGTGAGCAGCCTGTTTATCCTGATTCGCGGATTGTTGGAAACCACCCGAAAATTTACGATACGAAGATTTGTTTCCCCCTCACCAGTGCGTCTTTTCAACTCAATGATGGCAGACTTGAGCCGCTCCCTGTCTACTGGGTCCAGGTCTGGACGAACATGGCTCTTCAAACCTTTCAGCCTACTTAGGCGAGACATGATCAGTCTTGGACTGGCTTCGTCCACAAAAGTGATTCTCATAGGCCGATTTTGTTGATCACCTTGCTTTCCAAGACGGGTAATCTGCCTCACTTTTACCGAGTCCTCACCAGCGTCGAGGAGTCTATCAATTTGCCCGTGTAAAAACTCGACATCGTGCTCGTAGCGAACTTGGGGTGATGGATCACTGGACTCCGGTGCGTGAAAGATCACGAGATTATAACGCCTCTGGTCGGACGAGGTTGGCCTTGCAGGGCGAAGTATACTACCAGCCTCAAGTGGTTTGGCTAACTGTTGACTTACAGAACGTAAACGTCCAACTTTCCTTCGTAATTTCGTCCTCTGATCTTTCCACTGGTCTTCAGCACTCAGACTTTCACCTGCTGGGACATCAGTGTCCGGTGGACACAACAAAGGTAAGCAATTTAGCCCAGGTGCAACTGGGCTTCTCACAACGGTTGGACTTCGTGTCATTGAGTTTGCACGGGTAGAGGAGGACGACTGAGCCGAAACCTGAAGGCTCTTCGCGCTAGATTGTTGGGCCAAACGCACGGAGCTGTTCGCAACGAAACGCTGAGAACTACACGTCGGCTTTACTCTTTCTGGCTGTATCTGATTTCGGCAATTTTCACATATAGTTTGGACGAAATCGTGTTGGATCTCGCGAAGACGATGAAAATGCTCAACTGATAATCCAACACATGAAATGTGGTATTTAACTTGGCACAATGCACACGTGAGGGCATTTGCACGGTATCCGACTAGTTTGGAGCAAGTACCACAGGATGACTGCTTCGGCATTGCGAATAATCCGAAAACAAGATGGCGGCCAATTGACGAAGAAAGTGGCGATAGCAAGATCGCCGAAACCAAGCAATGAAATACAAGTATTTCTGGTCGGAAATTTCAGCATCAGAAATGAAACTGAATTGTAGCTCAATTTCCACGAAATACTTCCAATGAATGCAGAAAGTTAACACAAAGTGATCCTGTCAACACAGCCAAAAATAACCGACCGGAGGACGCTATCCGCAGTTATAATTACATTGTAAAGCATACATTTCATACGTAATTACAAAGCATGAACTTGCAAATAGAATTGACTCGCGGCTGATGTCGCAGTGTTTTAGTGTTCAGATACACAAAACAGAACCGGATGGATCTGGTTAGTGGGAAGCTTTAGTACGAGACCAATCCGCCTCTGGCCGCTGCCACACCAGTGAGTTGTTCCACATCAAGGTCTAGACCAATTTAATTTGTATGCAACCGAGAGCAACCCATTATTGTTTGTATATACCCTATTTTATACCGCAAAGCAGCTCAACTGTCGATAGCGACATTTATCCGGGTCGTGGGTACTGGTGGTTTTCTCAGACCCAGCACTGCTTTCGAATTCGCTGTAGCATTCATTTGGAACATACGGGGAAATATCCGATTTTTCTGGTTATCCAGCGGTACTTTCGGCTGTTGCGAAAATCGCCAGAGAGTCTTTATTGAACCAATCAGGATACGACTAAGCATGTGATTCCTTAAAAATACAGGGAAGTAGTTGGGGAGTTGAATGGTATAGGTAGAAATTCCTCACATCTAGACTCACTCAGACAGTCGTCACACTCCTGGAAGAGCACTGTGCGCACGTTTCATCCTTTCGGGAATCCTCAGTCGTGCGCACTCCATCTGACTCTGGTAGGGTTCGAACCCACAGCTCGACTGTTGCCAGGCCGTGGTTGAGACCACTGAGCTACGGGGGACGGCAACGACCATTGTGAAGGAGTTATTAGATTTGATACTCCTGCGTTCTGCATTGACGCGGTGTCTGTCACGAAGAGTCACATTTTCCCTCGAATGTGCGTATGTAAACAAACTTACAACCGATGCAGTAAATTAGTTGCGCTATAAACTCGCGTGTATATTCACCTTTGGTTGAGTCAGTACAAACACTCCGGTCAAAGACCACTTTCTCTCTCTGGTTCACGGGACCTTCATGCGGTTCACCTTGATCGCACGCGTGTGGAGTTGATCTGTTGTTGAGCGGTTAGGTCCCGCGAGGCCCTAGTCTATCTAAACTGCGCTCAGCAACTCTTCCATCAAGTTGGTTCGTTTGAATAGGAGTGATATAGCATGTAATTCTTCCATCTTGTCTTCGATGGGGTTTTTGAAACTTTCTCATACAGCACTCGAATTCTCGCTCATTTGACTTTCCCATCCAACATGCTGTTTCTACAGCATCGTCTAAAGACGACACACCTAATAAATGCTGCTCTTTTCACCACATTGGTGAATTCACAGAGTTGCTGAAGGGGCTGCTGTCAGCATTGCATTATACCTCATCATTATCATCGATCGGCTCGAATTGATTCGCTAGCTTTATTTTCCTTCACGTTTCTCATTTGAATTGATCATAATCGACTCTTTCTCATCCACTCCCTTTAAGACATAAGTTATACCAGGCCACCGGGTGTACAATTTTTATTGAGTAGACACTATCACTCTTTGGATTGAACTATTTTCCTGAAGCTATCTCTGATTCATATCGCTGCATATTGTGATATACACTCTGCACATTCAAACTACAAAGCAGAGCTATGAGTTAACCTATCGGTTCCTATGATCACCAAATATTCACTCGATGCGGTCAATCGATCGATGAATGTGCTAGTACAAGTTGTCAACAATGTTAGTTCATGTTAGTTCATGAATAGATAAGCTTCTTGAGGGTCTACGGACACTTTGTGTTATCTACTTGAATAGTGTGTACAACGCTGCAACCCAATCGGTTCGGTGCAGTTTATCCTTACACCAAACGCCTTGGATGCAGCTGTTCTAACCCAATCCACTGTAGTAACACGAGTCGAGAGCTTTTGACAAAAAGAAGTTAGTTATCCTCAAATGAATGAGCGAATGATTAAAAGCCATCGATCCAATTCAACGATGTCATTGACCTCGCAACTGCGCCACGTCCAATTGATGTAGTCAACTCCGATGTTTCCCGTTAGAAAGAGGACACGTGTCAACCCGACTCCATTTTTCAGCCATTTTCTTCGCGTTTCTTTGTCCAGTCTTAGACTAGCAATTCTGTAGTTTCAATGAACAGGGCGCAACGTTTGTAAACAACTTACCTAGATGAGAAATTTAAGAGGACTTCGTCATGCGACTTAACCAGTAGTTAAATCACTGGCTTATTCGACCAGTCACCCCGCCAACTTGGGTACGATTTTCGTCAGGCACCTTTTCCCCTCTCTGGTCAGCTTGCGTGTGTCTCATTTACTGATGGCGGCTAGTATTTTTATCACTGTATACGCCGCTTACAATTTAATATATATATATATATATATATATATATATATATATATATTGCCAAACTTTCTCTCTTAGTTCTAATTGATGCGATTTTAAACGATACATGAGACTCTAACCATGGTTTTTCAGTTGCATTGTTTTAACGTTGTGAAGCTATATGGCTCACGCCGATGAATGGCACCCAGTTTTTACAATATACGGTGTAAACGCGAGACGTTGTCTTTTTCGACTACCTGAATCGATTTCTTTTGTATCTATGTCGCATTCGCTGTACGTTAGATTGATTGCTCGCCCTAACAACGCTGATGGTCAGACATCGGGCTTTAAGTCACGATATCACCGGGTCGGACCTCTGTCTGCCTCTGCTTAGAGTCCTTGTTTCTGTGTACCATTTTACTAAGCTTTCTGCGAACTAAAACCAAAGTCAAATACTTTGCTGCAATAGGTGCATTTTGGTTAGGGAGAACCAAACTTTGACAAACGGCACCAATAGTGGGTTATCAGCAGTTTTGAAGCCATCCGCTTGCTGAGTTTTTACTCTGTTTATGTCCT